TAGGAGTCTTAAAGTTTTGAGTGTCAATATTGGAGCACCTCTACTAGGGTCTTGGAAGATTTTCTTGGCTTTTCTTTTTTTTCTTTTTGAGGATTCTTGAAGATATTTATTTGGACTGGAAGTATTGGTTTTTGAATTAAATTCTAATGAAGATGGGGTTTGACTTGGATTTTCAATATAGACTGGGAATTTATCTCTTTCTAATTTAGAAATAATATAGTCTTGAGAAATTTCTGGTTTTTCAGATCATAATTTTAAGAGGAAAAAGGAATGCCGTGAGAATGCAACGAGAGGGTGCAGCCATAGACCGGAGTAATAGAAATTTAAAATAGGAGAGAACACCAGCAAAGTCCCTCAAATCCTCTGCATAGGAAAAAGGATGACCCTTGAACAAGAAAATATAGGGTCACAAACCATGAACCCTAACCCTATGAAAGAAAAAGCAATATTCTAAAAACCCTTCTACTTTTTAGAGATCCGCTTAGAAAGTGGGTAGCCTTAACTAGATGTGTTAAAAAGAAAGCAAGAAGAACATCCCCATCCGTGTTAGGGGAGATGCCAACCATTTTAACTTTCTATGGACGCAAGCCCTTCCAAATAATCCACAGGATAGCCAAGGGATAAGAGAGAAGCCTTTTTCATCTCTTATCGCCCCCGAGTGTTTGTTTAATATTAGGGCTAGTGACAATGTTGTTCAAAACTGTAACCCTCATTACAAAATTAGTACTGGATTCTTTTTCACAGCTACACTCGAGTCCAAGCAATAAAAAGTGTTTCAATAAAGTCCTTTCTAAGCTCTTTTGGACCTAATTTTAATAAAAATTACTTAATTTTATTTGAATTGAATTTGACATTAACTTTGAGACAGAATTGTAACAAAATTAGTTTGGCTCTAAATTTGTAATATAACCCAAAGTTATAGGACTAAAATGGTAATTGATCCTAATAGTTACATTCTAGTAGAAATATAATCATGTGATGCAATTATTCCTCAGTGTCAAATATAAGAAACCTCAGGCCTGACATCTTAAAAAACACACTCTAGGAGTGACATCTAGGTTTCAGTATTGTTAAAATGAAAAACAGCACAACAATCAAACTAGGCAGATAACATGAATTTGTCCTTGATCTAGTTCTCTTACTTTCCTGTTGTTTCCTTTTCCTTGTGTCACTTATTATCACTATTGTTCTTTCTTTTTTCAGAAGACCACTTCTCTTTTTCTGCTCTTTTCTCTTCCAGCAGCCTTCTCTCTCTTCTCTTTATCACTCCACCTACTTCTCTACTGTCTACATCAGCTAATATGATACTCAGCCACAACCTTACTAGTGAAATCATTTTCATTCTTCAGTGATTGTAGAACAGGAGAAAAAAAAACTTAGAAATATGATCTTACTTGAACAGAGCCTGTTCTATACGTTATTACCCATGTGTTCTTGAGTTCTAAGGAAAAATGCAAAAAACATTTCCTGCAACTATCTTCATTTCCACAGTTTATGCCAAGCTGTATTAGAACTACATAGCAGAAACCAATAGTCCTCTGAAACAGAACTGCAGAACAAAAATCTTAGCCTATCCTACAATTAAAAAAGTTTTGTCCCATGAGAGAGAATTGCTTCCTAAGCAGTATGTCGTGTAACTGTACATTTATTAAGAAGACAGAGTGAAAGGGCAATATAAGACAAACCTTTGAAAGAAAATTGGATATAATCAACTCGGATATTCGTGGCCATGTCAGTCTGCCAAAACATCTTATCCAAGAGCCATTTTGGAAGCACAAGTATTTGTAAATAAACTTAACAACCTGAATAATCCCCAAGTACATAGTCTCTCCATCCAGATTTTGAATCTAAAAATCAAGGGAGAAATGTGAATGTACCAAATTGCAGAGTAAGCAAAAAACCTGTGATGATTGACAATCAATCTCACAGGGAAGAAAAAGCAGCTTAACGAAAGAGGATTTAAAGCAATAAATAAAATTAAGCAAGCTCATTGTTTCTTTCACTTATCATCTGTCACTATCTAACTAACTGCAAAGGAGTAAATTTAAAATTGAAAGCATGAGGTAAATGTAAGTTACCTCAGGATCAGATATTGTTATTCGTGTCAATGTTGCCTCGACCATTTCTTCTGAGTGTTGATTAGAATCCTCAATGAATTTAATAGCTGAACCACGATTTACAACTGGAGTAATCACATGTTTGATTGTTGAGTCAGCTACTTTTGCAAGCCCATAGTCCAAGATACCGACCACCTAGAATAAGCCATTATTGATTTATGACTAGTTCATAAGACAATATTGATTTTGCTTTCTTAAAATTCCATTATCAAAAGAATAATAATTTTTAAGTTTGAAATCTTTTAGTAGACAGCTACTCTGTCTCACGACCATAATTTGAGCAAAATAATATTGATATCTTTTGATACTTATCCACAATCATAGACCCATCACATATAATCTAAGCATCATGGTTACCTACTGCTATTAGCAGCTTCAGTGAAATGTTTTCCATTGCATTAATATTCAGGATTTTCTGAAATGGTTTAAATTTGTTTGGCAATGAACAGCCTTTGAGCCATTTACTTGAATTATCATAATTAATAATAAAGTAAAACACCACGGTTCTATTAAAAAGTACAAATTAAAATTTGTAACAAATTGAAGCAAATGGAAGATAAAGAAGCAACTCACATCCATTGCCTCCAAAACTGTTCTGAGCTCAACTCCATCAATTCCATCAACACTTAATCTATAGCTGACACGAATTCTTTTAGCTTCATGCTCAAAGTGAATTGCATTTTCCATGAACTTCACGAGCAATTCTTGAATCTACAAACCCAAATCCAATTCCTCTAAAAACAATAACACAAACATTTGAATCACCAATCACTAAAACAAAACTACATAACCCAGTTCACTTGCTGATAAAACAATGGAAGGTGAAAAGAAAGCAACTAATGCCTTCCACAAATACTCTATAATGAAGCTAATTCCACGGTATATAAAGTCTACAGGCTATACAATATAAAATACCAAATTTTCTTCTCTGTTGGGGGATTGAGAAGAGGGGGGTGAGGGAGAAGAAGGAGGAAGAAGGAGAAAAGGAGAAGTTTATTGGAATATATGATGATCTGTTCGTTAGCTCAGAAAATAAATTGCAACTAATACATAAAAATAATTAGAAGCTAAAAGGTAGTTTTATTAAACTATATTTACTGTTCACTAGTAGAACTAGAGAGCAAAGCAATGTAAAAACACTCAAAAACTAACTCTTACGTTCTTCAAGTTTCTTAGCGACCAATCAAGATCCATTTTTAGAAAAATAAAATGAAATAAAATTTTCTTTACCTCCTCAAAGCAATCCAACCACTCTTTCCTCATCAAACCATAGACAATAGGCTCCCCCTCTTCCTCGTCACCAATCCTCAGAGCAACCTTCAAATTATTTATTCGCTCAGCGGCAAATCTGAGCCGCCCATTCCTCAACCCTTCCCTCGCTTCTTTCAATCCCTCACAAATTTCCACAATTACCTTCACCAGCTCCAGCAATTCCCTCTTTACCTTCACCTCCCTCATCTTCATGTTCATCTCCTCTACCAAGGCCCGAATCTCGACGTCAATCGGACGGTCAGAAATCAATCTCAGAACATCGGTGAGATCATTGGAAACTTGGCCAGTCTTAGAAACGGCTTCGTTGCATAGAGAGAAGAGTGAGGAGAAGTCATCAACGTGCGCTAGGAGATAGGCTTGTACCTTGGATTTGATGCGATGGGAATGAGACTCGAGGCGGTTGATGAGGAGGCGAAGATCCGGTGCGGACAGAGGCGTGGTAGGATCAGTCAGGTCGTGACCGGAGAGGAGATCGCGAATGTTGATTGTGTCGAACAAGACGTCCATCTCGGCCGATCTGACGGATGGGAATGGCGGGAAGTTGGAATCCGTTTGGTTTATATTGTAGTTGGTCGATAGCGGCGGAGTAGAGGGGACTAGGTGTATGGCGGAGAGAGCTAACGTGCGCTGGTGCTATAAAAAGCCGACTATTGTACGTATATGTGGGCCTTTAGGAAAGATAAAATGGGCCTGGAGCCCTTAAATAAAAGAGTAATTTGGACATGGCCCTACGTTATAATATTTGTTTAGAAAACAGATTTAAAATTATCTAAAAAGCTTAAAATTATAGATTTTTTTCTTTTAAAAATTTTAATTTATTTATATACAAATATGTATGTTTATATAAGGGTTGCCAAGTGTTACTATTAAGCTAATTAGCAACTGGAGACACAAAAAATTAGAAAACGAAGCTCCAAAGTCAAAAGATTAGAAAGATGAGCAAAGTCCAAAATCTGAAATACGAAGTTTTGGCCGGTTGGTGATCAACGCTGAAGAATGTTGACTAATTGACGCTTTCAAATTTTCAAACCAAATCCAGTCAATAGCTGGGAATTGCAGCTGGCACAGTACATTATAATTAAATTAAATTTAAGCTACTACTTAATTGAAAATTATACATTACCCAAAAATGTTTTATGTAGTTTTTAAAATATTTAAAAAAATCCACAAAGTACTGTAGGTCTAAAAGGTGTACAAAACTCCAGATGCTTATACTTCATTTTACATTAACAGAAATTGATAATTCAATACCTGACCCACAAAAAAAAAATGAAGAAAAGGGTACATGATGAATTCAATTAATCCCATTTTCAAATTAAGAAAATGGCTTAATTATCATGTATATATATATATATATATATTCTAGTTTTATGTATTTTTACAGGGAGAAAAAAAAAAAAGTAGAAAAGAACAATTTGATACTAATTAATTAGTTAAATTAGAAGCTTAAGAGCTAAGAAAATATTTTATCTTCAAGCCCAAATACTCCAAAGCTTCTCGCCTAGAAAACTCATAATGTTCCTCACGGAATCTTTCTCCGATGTTTCAGCTTCAAGATCGTCATCATGATCATCATAATCATGACTCAGTTCAACCGATTCTGACTCACCCAACTCGTCCTTCACCAACTCACCCCGAGAAGAACTCTGATGATGATCGCGTTCACCCTTCAACTCAGAAACTCGCTTCTCTCTCTTCTTCCTGCTCCTCTTCGTAGTCCTTTTCTTGCTCCCCTCAGGCAGCAATCCTTCCTCATAAGTTTCGATTATATCATGGATGACTTGCCGGTTAGGTGAAGCATCCCAACGTGCCCAAAAGCTCATGTAACACCTGAAGCAACAGCACTGAAACATAGGGCTGTGATCATCAGCGCCGCCGGCGGATAACCTACTGTTATTTCGAATTTTCTTCCGGTGACTGGATGAGGTAGAAGAGGAGGTGGAGATGGTGCCACAGCATGAGATAAGGTACGCCAAGACTTGTTTGTCTTCCGGGGAGAGACCGACGGCGAGGGTGAGAATTGCAGCGGGAAGCACAGACAAATAGTGATCGCCGGTGTTTGATGATGACGGCGACGACGGCGGGAGCTGTGGAGTTGGGTGGATTTTGCCTTTCTTGTAAAGATTCTTCATTTGGGGGACTTGAGTTTTTAGTTTGTGGATTTTCTTCTTCAATGGGTTTGGTTTAATTGTAATGGAATATAATAAATTGAAGTTTTAAAGAGTTATGTCTCCTTTTAAATTGGTACGCGTGTGGAAAATTTGGCGAGTACGAGATGAGTACTCCACGCTCCTGGGCAGCGTGGTCGTCAAGTATTTTTTTAATTGAAATTTTATATATTCACAAAATAAACTTTCTACTATACTTTAGTTTTACTTTAATTTAAATTATTTAATCTTATCATAATTTAGTAATTTAATTTATTTTAATAATATATTAAATAACTATTTTTGTTATATTTTATTTTTTAATTATTAAAATTTAAATTTTTATATATTTATTTAAAAATTTAATCCCTATATTTAAAAATATAATATATTTATATAAAAATAATAATTTTTTATTATGTATTTTAATCGATAGTTTTGAATGAATAAAATGTAAAAATAAATTATAATTTTATAACTTGACTTGTTGTAATTTATAATTTTTGCTATACATTTGATTTAGTTTTTTTTTAATCTTATATATAAAAGAATTAAAAATTTTAATTTATTATATTATAGTATCACTAATTTTATTTTGATTTATTTAAATTTAAATCTTATGTTTTTTTAATTTAATTATTCAATTAGATCACATGGCTTAAACTATATTTTACAAAAACTATAGTAATACAATATAAACGATAATTAATGAATAGTAAACCGAAAAAAAATAATAATAATTGATTCTAATTTAAAAAAGATAAATTTTTAATTTTGTATATATTCAGAAACTTAAATATTATG